AGTGTATAACATTTAGGAGGATGTATTGTCAGAAATTGAATATAATAGGTATGTTTCCATTAGTGTACAATCACCTGAATATAAGAATTGTTGTGTTTTTGTTACCTTAGAATGAGCAGTTTGTTTATCCACAGTCCTCTTCTACAGAGTCTGACATGCTGAACCGCCATGTTTCTACACTAGTCCAGAACAGACAAAACACTGTCTGTAGATATGTAGGACCACCATAGTCTCTCCTACACACTTGGAACAGAAGGTTGAGACAATGGCATTGCAATCAGCAACTACACCACAAGATGGCACTAAACCGTAGACACTGGACTTTAAAGCCAAATGGATGAATAGCAATACTTTAAATTAATTTGAACAAATTCTATTTAACATTTAATTTACAATCTAAAGGCCTCTTATCCCCCCCATCAACCTGGCATTTTGATTATATTTCAAACATATATATTTGCTTTGAACAGTTGGTAGTATTTCTACTGAGGCTACAATATTGTCTTTGCTGCAAATCAAACAAATGCCTATGTAAAGCTGCACTAATCAATATTTTCATAATAACAATGGATCTAAACAAAATGTGAGTCGTTTGGCTGCTTGCCAAAATCTTTTTTTCCAATTACCACTTGCTAGAAAGTAAGAAGTAAGCCCTCTCTATTGCTGAAATGTTTAAAGCCGAAAAGTGGGGGTCAACACCAGAATGGGAAGTCATCCTCTCGACCAGCCACCCCCATCACAGCACATAGCTTCCTCCATCCAGGCTGCTAACACTTTCCTACTGTGGGATGCATGCTAGTTGAGTTCAGGACCTTGAATCACATTCACATTTACAGCAGCAAAAATAACAACAACTGTCTCAAAACCAACAGCCATAACAAAATAGTATAATATTGGAGAATTACTATGAATGCAAGCAGTGCATGAAATCCTCCATTGACTTAGATATGGATTTTCCAATTACAGGGGTCCTCTCCATTGAGATCCTTGAATGGTTTTTAGTGGGTTCCAAAGGGTCAGCTAGAGGTCCAGCAAGGTTTTCCAGCCATCCTAATTTCTATTTTAGTCCTTTGATTTAGAATAAATTACCATTATAAAAATGCACACAGTGTTAATACAATAGGCTGAGATTAAAGGGTCATCATTTTTATTGACAAAGGAACAAAGCTCTCCTTGTGACTGTTAGCAAAGGCAACATTTGTATTGTAATGACATAAAAAGGTGAAAGGAAGCAGGTCTATGTGTAGGTATTTATTTATTTTCCACTTAATACAACCGCAGCTCTGCCTTGAATCTGGTAAGAGATTTCTCTCTCTCTCTCTCTCTCTCTCTCTCTCTCTCTTTCTCTGAGCTGGACCAGTAGCCAAATTAGGAATTGAACTGCGATTTGTGTGTGAATATATTTATTCATATGTTTAATACATTTACATAGAGAAAATAAAGGATGGCATTGGCTGTTTATATCGCAAATCCTAGCAAAACAAAGAGGAAAAGATTACAGGTTCTGAAATATCTTCAAAACAGCTATTACAAGTTTTTACAGAGATGCAGCAGACCTCGGAATCCGAGGGAAGCGGTCAGGACTAGGTCAGTCGCAGTGTCAGCTCGGAACCGGGTCGTGACATTTTTTCGGTTCCGTGTATGTATGTATGTATGTATGTATGTATTATTATTATTATTATTATTATTATTACATTAACATTTAATGTAAGCTATATACTAGGGTATAAATACGAAAGAGTCGTATTTGGACGCATGAAACCACACATTAATAACTGTATTGTTTACAGTTTGTTACAGTTATTTTGGTTTCTATCTCCTCCGATTGTTTTTATCTGCAGTGGAACCTATCCCAGCTTTAATATGTTCTCATAGATTATTTCTTTGGAAGGCAATACATTATCTAAGAGCTGCAAAGGTCAGTGCACATGTAGGCTATAATATGACTACTATAGCCATGTTCGTATACATTCCTGTTTATTTTAGCTTTTGACTTTAAATGGTAAATGGAATGGTAAATGGACCTGTACTTGTATAGCGCCTTTCTAGTCTTCCGACCACTCAAAGCGCTTAAA